GGTCATATTTATTCTTCTGGGGTTCCAGGGTCAGTGGATTTTGTGAGCCCCCCTAAGTTCTGAGGGGGGCCAAAAATGAGGAGGTAAGTGTGTGGGACAGGGCTGCCAGTGAATGGGATACGGATGGGAGTGCAGGAGGTGGGGTATAGGAGGGGGTGAGGGGGTGAAGTCTGGGTGGGAGGTAGGGTGCAGGAGCAGGCTGGGAGTAGGGTGTCTGGTTGGGGGGGAAGGGGCAGGAGCAGTCTGAGGGCAGGGTGGTGGGTCAGGAGCAGGCTCTCTGGCTGGGGGAGGGTGAGTGAGTGAGGTGCATGAGGGTTGGAGGGGGGGCACTTATTTACTTTCATGCTGCATGTAACACGGCCTCCCCCTGCTCCCATTTGCTGGGCAAGATTTGCGGGGGAAGCCTGCAGGGTGTCCTAGGGGAGAAAAAAGGCAACGCACATGGAGCCATCTCTGGTTCCCCACACGCTGGAAGAAGGAAAAGGACAGTGCACAGAGCCATTTTATTCCCCGTACACCAGATCCGGAGGGGAGGCTCACGGTTTTCTCCCCCCACACAGGAAGCCGATGCTGGCGTTCCAGTCTTGCGGGGGGCTGTAGTGCCAGTGCTGGCCCCCTGCTGCAGGGGGAGCTGAATTGGGGCTCCAGAAAAGCCGTATCAGCAGAATCCAGGGGTAAATGACCAGTGGATCATCAAAGATGCGTTCTGTGTAGACCCTGCTGCCATGGAGATGTTTGCGTGGGTGCAGCGAGGCATTCTTTGTTGACATACAACAACAACAATTAACAGCCATTCCTACCGTGGGAGCTCTGGCTGCCATGGCCCAAACATGGAAATCTGATCCAGCAGATGCTGGGCCCAATTCCATCTCCTCCGGGGGATGGTTTTCTGCTTGCACAGCAGAAGGAAAAATGAACAAACAAACCCTTCCGGCCAAGGGGAAGAGTCCGCTTTGGTTGTAGAGGGCTGCAAATAGGTTTTCTGTGGAAGTTCTGTCTTGCAGAAACAGCAGGCCAGAGGGAAGAAGGAAAAGAACAGAACCTACAGCGGAGATGCTGTAATAGCAGCAGGGAGCAGAGAAAGGGAGCATAATAGAAACTAGAAGAATTTTAATTTACAAAGGAATCACAAACTATAACACTGAGTCTCTTGCTCTGTATAGATTTCTGGATTCCCTCCAACACGTTAAGGACAATCCAGAGGTCACCAGTTTAGAGAGCACCACAGCAATTCTCCCTTCCTCCACCCCAAACAGTATGGCATCCCGGATGTGAGCTGGTGATTGAAGTTGTAGGCACTGTCCAACAGCAAGTGGTAAATGCCATCTCAGATCCCAGGAAGGATGTGGTCCCCTATAATACGCAGTGCACAGACGCCCTTTTGCCTTCACCAAAGTGATGTCTTAAGTAGGATCTATCCCTGTATTCCATCAGACCGCAGGCAAGAGCTCTCCTCCTGCTTAGGCTGCCCTTCCACGGTGGGTCTCTCTTATCCCCTTCAGCATGCGGGCGGGAACGCAAGTGCCTCCTCCCAGCCATTCACGTCCACTGGACAAATCAGTTCCCAGGACATGGATGTTCACATCATGGTTTCCATATGAAGAACTTTCAAGGCCTCTGAAATCTGGGAGCTGGTGTCTATCTGTCCATACATGCCAACCAGAAAGGCCCTGTGCAATAATACTGCTGCATGTTCTGTGAAGCGGAAAAGAGAAGCATAAGAATTGATCTGACCAGCCCTGATTTACCAGTAACCATCAGACGGCACAGAGGAAATGCTAGGACTAGTCCCAGCAAGAGAAACAACAGTGCAGTCGAACTAAGTTTTAAATTCTGCAGATGGGGAAAAGGAGGAACTACACACTCACCCCCAAGCACACAATTAACACTCCAGACAAGTATATGATGGATACAAAGCGCCTTAACTCAAAGGGGAAAACAGTGATACGACCAGAACTATTTGACAGAGAAGCCAATGCTGGTCAGACAGGGACTCGCTGCAATGAATCCCTTCTGTGGTGTTCAGAGTGAAGGTACCACTGGGCAGGCCAGCAAATAGCACCAGACCAAGCAATAATGTCTAGCGAGAACTTCCATGGAAATTCCAAGTCTCCAGCAGACAAAAATAAATCCGAGACTGAAAGCAGTTGAAGCAGAGACCCCTGGGAAATCAGCTTCCAGCCTCTCGCACTTGAGTGTGCAACAGTAAACGCAGAAACCTAGACTTACCTTGGCAGAGAAGGGTGTATTCAGGCAGGTTTCTCAGTGCTGTCTGCACCACCTCGAAGTCTCTGCTGCCAAGGCAGTACATGAAGGTGGGGAGGAAGTCAGCAGCAATGCTGGGAACAAAACACAGCCCTGTCATTACAATCCCCACCCTTAGCATCCAGGGAACAAGAAAGAGTCCAAGCCCTATGCAGAACAAAGGAGAGAAGGAAGTGACTCAGGAGCATGGCATTCATGGATATCGCCATTTCTCACCTGGGGTTGTTCTGAATTGAGCGCAGAGCTAGGCTGAAGGCCAGATTCCGGCAGGACTCTTCTGAAGAGCTCATCAACCTTTGCAGATGAGTCTGAGAGGAGACAAGGCTGATCAGCAAGAGACCCCATGGCAACATTAGGTGCAAGCCTTTCAGACTTACATTACCACCTGCGCGGCACTGCTCCCGCCCCGCTAACCATCTATCCACCAGGTAAATGCTGAGCCAGGGTCATGGCAAGGGGATTTCTGTAAGAACCATCAGCCAGTTCTGAATGCTTTAAGCATCCAGAGTGGGTTTTCTCTTGCTCTGTGCAGGGCAATTTTGATTGACATCCATTTCCCTGGCCCCTTGTTAAGTGTTTCTTGTAGAACGATTCGCCTTTTTCCGTAGACCGGTATTACGAGGTGGTTGCTTAGCCCTGCTGGAAGCTTCTCCTTTGAGTTGAGAAATGCTCACCTCTAAGGTGGTAGACCTCATGACTAGAAGGGACCCAGCGTAATGGAGAGAAGGGAAGAGGAAGTGTGTACGTGTGAGCAAGCATGTGTGTAAATGACTTAGTGCACACAATCACATGGCAGTTGATGGCCCAAACTAACTAAGGAGGTAATTTCTCAGAACTGGCCTACCCACAGACAATGGGATAATGATGTGATAAAGCAGAGGGAAGACAGAACCTTAATAAACTGTGCAAGGGGACCTAGGTCACTTCTGGGCTACATCTACTCACCGCAAAAAAGGAGAGAATTTCTGGTCGTCGTCTGGACATCTCATCCACATCACTCAGCACCTCCAAGATATCTGGGGGAAGCCAGAGATGGAAAAGGGTAACTCATCTTCACTGATCCAATGCAGTGGCATCAGAAAAGCCCCAAAGGGAACATCTCAAACACAGGAGTCCTCTGCTGAGCTATCAACCTAGCATGCAGAACTAAAGGAGAGCAATCCTGCTTCAAAGAGGACCTCAAAAGGGTGCTGTAGATCAACACCTCCAGAACTGCACCCGCCACATTAGCTGCTAGCATTGCTGTCTGTGGCAAGTTTCAGTACGGGATCAATTTCTATTGTAACAGTAAATGATCTTTACATAAGGCCTTGTACAGCAACATCTTGACAAGCAAATCTGCAGACCATGCCCATGCAGGGATCAATTCTCCTATTTCTGAGTTGGGCAGCAGTGGGCTAACCCCACACAATAATGTCTCAGATCAGGACAATGAAGCGTACTGGATACAGATGCTATTAAAAGAACCTTAGGGAATCAAAGTGCAGCTCCCTAGGAGACTATTCTAACAGCTTGAACTTTTGTGGAGAGCACAAGGGGAATTTTGATAACTATAAACAATTGGGGAGCTGGAACTTAAAATTTTACATCTCATCCCAAATACACCACTTCCATCAACCCAGCACCACAAATGCAGTGCTGGCACCCTGGTTCAGAACTAACCCATGGCCAAGTACCACCCAATGAATCAACCACCTCACTTCCAAGAGCTCCTAAATTGTATTGGGGGGGCTCCCATCCAAACACAGAACAGGTTCAACTTTGTTTAGGTCATGAGATGCGACATGATTGCATCTCATCATTGCGGCTTTAGGAGACTAGCTCTCCTCTTACAGGGGAAGACCACAGGCTATGGTTTCAATTCTACAGTAACGTGTCTGGCAGCTTCCCTGCACTGGGCTCCTGGCTGCAAGCCAAATACCAAGTTAGCTGATTTTTATCTATATGCTCCCTCTAGTTCTGGTCTAACATTCTTGGGAAGTGCAGCTGGGAGTAGCTACCATACTCCAGTCAAGAGAGGTGGGTAGAAGGATTCCTGTCAGTCAAGTCTACAAGGTGTTCTGGGAAAGCTGTCCCCACTTACCCTCCACAGTCTGGCCCCTGGAGAGTCTTTTCATGTATGGTGCCATTTCCGCTGGAGT